TGAAGGTTTCCTCATTAGTGTTCCACACACGATCACAGCCAAAAATCAGCACCACAGCCTGTGACTCTGTCAGACTCCCTGCTCTGTTTCTCATGCCAGCTTTGGTACTTCATTCTCCTGCACACACCTGCCTTGCTGCTCCTGAAACACACTCCAGCTGAAATCCCTGAAAACTGCTGGCTGCTTATAGCTTGGAGAGAGTAGGAATGGAAAAGGAGGAATAGCAATCCAAACTCATACCCTGTCTGGATGAACACACACCCCTACAGAGGCCACATATGTCATCACTCTCACACATCACTACTGCACTACAAAACTGCTTCCACTCCCAACCTCATGGATTACAACTCTTTCTTGGAAATATCTGAATTCAGTAAGGACAAATAAATGCCAGTCAGATGTTCCACTCTCTATTGATGACTTCTGTTGTGTTCAGCATTACTTAGCATTCTCGTTCCATTTCACTTTGAAACAAGGATTTAAAAAATAAATAAATAAATAAGAAAATGTCAGACATATAATTTCATTTGTAGCAAATGCTCAAATGATGAAAACCCTGTGTGTGAAAATATCGAGGATGATTTCAAAACGTGCAGTGCTTTGTGCCAGAGATTGCTGCATTTCCTGGTGACATGAAATGAATAAATACAAGACCCAGCACACTGAATCACTGACAGCCTCCAGCCTGAGAGCAAAGTCCCACAGCCACCCAAGTGGGGGCTGTTTCCCGTAATTCCTTGGAGTTTCCTATTGCAATTGTTAGAGACTGTAGCAGTGATAAATTCTTTGAAGGAGCTGTAAAGAATAAGTTATTGAGCATGTTTATACCACCCCAGTCTTCACAGCCTAGGCGGGCTGGGAGGAAAGAAGAAAAGGACGAAGTTTGTAGGTTAGAAGACTGGAAACAGCACATAGACATTCATCAACGGCATTCCCAATTCTCTGCTTCCACAGTGTCTTGCAGGCAGAGCTTCCAAGATTTTAGTGACAGGTCAAAGAACAAAGCATTAATTTTCTAGTACGTGTGTAAAGGATGTGCACTCTGTTACGTGTTAAGTACAAAACCAGCCTTCACGATAAGTAAATTTTTCAGTAGTTTAAAGCACAGTAAACCAAAGTGTTCCAGGAAAGGACTGTAAAATGTCTTTATCATGCAGAAATGGTAAATGGGAGACTCCAGGACTCAGTTGGCTACTAAAGCCAGCCGACAGTTTAATGGTGTGTGCTGCTTGTGTTTTAAATCAGAGCAGTCAGGGAAGCCACAGAAGCCCCGAATGCTGCAGTAAATAACCTGCCACTCTGAGCAATGCCAACTTCACACTGCTTTATAGGAAATGTTACCTTTTCTGAGACACACATAAATAACACAGCTACAGGCCTTTGGAAAGGGACAAACCCAAACCAATCCCAAATCTTGCAATTACAAGAAGTGTTTTGTTTCAGGACTAACAGATGTGGTCTCACTTTATTGGGTGTGGGTCCAGAGGAGGCCAGTGCAGGTGCAAAGGGAGTCTCAAGCTGAAGAAGCTTTAGACATGCACTGTTCTCCTGAGATTGATCTCAGGAGAGTTTCCCACCCAGTAACTTCTTCCTCCATGACACCTCCAAGTCACAGAGCATTCTTCACGCCAAAGTAATTCACTGGCTTCCTTCTTATTTTATAATCCCGTACAAAACAGCAATCTTGGTCTAAACACTTCCTGTAAAGCCCCTTCCCACCCAAACCATCCTGATAGTCTGTGATTTGTTGACCAGCTCAGCTAAATAAGTGGGGGAAATCCCTGTGTGTGCACACTATTCAAGTGTTCCATGTTCCTCACGTGGCAGAGCAGAAAGGTTTTTAATTTGGTTTGGGGTCTTTTCTTACAGTTTTTACAAAAACAGGATCAAACCTTCAACGATTCCAGGATTTTGCCAGTAGCAGTGTTTCTTTTTTAACTCCAAAATAAATCTGAATGCTGATCTTTTAATGACTGCTCAGCATTTTTGACACCTTTCACCCCTTTTGCTACTGGAACTGCAGACAAAAATACTTGCTAGAGAGTTTTCCCACTGACAATCATTACAAAGCACGATTCTGGTGGCATAAAGTTTTCATTACATTTCCATTATATTTTTGTAAGTCTTAAACTGCCAAAGCACAAAGGATTCAGCAATCAGCCAATTAGAATTGGTTACACCAATACAGTGTTTCAGTACCTGCCCCCTCTCAGCCCTTATCTACAGCCACAGCAACCCATGAGAGCAGAATAAGCCCCTGCACTGGCCCAGCCCTCCTGCAGCACTGACTGTTTCTTTGCTCACAACCCAGACTTACAGAAAGTTGAGTAATTATCCTCTGCACTTACCTGAAACTCCAAGAACACACATTTTCTTCTAACGATTCCCCAAGCATAACCTTTGCACAGGATCAGATTCTCTTACCAAGATAAATTTAGCCACCTTGTTGAGATTAAGATCAACTTTACATTTAGAAAACAAGGCTCCTGATGTTGTGATTTATATGTCTATAAAAGCCATATATTTATTATGCATGATATACAGTAACTCAGGTATGCACTAAATTTCATGCTGAAAGCTGCTGATGCCTCAGGCTACTGAGCGAGATGATACATGATTCTGTACATAAGGAGATTGCAAAGCAGTTTCTTAATTTACCTCCAAATTACAATTACCAGAGGGTTTTCTGAGTATTTGTCTCTAAACGTCTTGTAGTCTGGTAATAACAACTGCAGGTACTATGAAAGTAAAATTGCCAGCTTCTGGCTGAACTCGTACATCCATGATGAACAAAATTCTAAGTTTTTTAATGTGTAAAGGTGTCGTTCACATGGTTTTTAGAATGCCATAATAAATGTATCCTTTGCTATCGTCAATGTACCTGAAAATATTACTGTGCAAAACAAGGCATGTACATATACACACTCAAGCACTAAGCCATTTGTTTATAAAAATTTAAGTGTTCTGGTTTGGTTTATTGTTATTTCCTTTCTTTAACTTGATTACAGGCCTGTGCCTATAGAAGTCAAGACTTCAGGGTCCAACTGAAAACTAGAAAGAGCTCTTGTTTCAAGACAGTGTCATTACTCTACATTAAGGATATGTATGTTAGTGAAGTATCATTAAAGGAAACCTACCCAGACACAGCAACTCTTCCCAGCAAGTCCGTTACAGAAAAACAGATCTCATCAGAAGAGAGCTGGAGGGCACATCCCAAGGGATGAAATTTGTACCAAAATAAATGCAATCATAAAAATTAGAAATGGTTTAAAAAAATTTCAAGTCCTACAAGTCACTATTTTTGATTATTTTTTGAAGACTTCTCCAGGAATTTAGTAATAACCAGCGTTTTGTTTGAAGCTGATTTTCAAAGGGGCAGGCCGACACTTTTACAGCCAAGCCTGCAGGAGCAGGATGACAGTGATGGTGGGTCAGAAGGTGAGAGAAGAAAAGCCTTGAATCGGAATCTCCATCACCTGCCACCAGGTTGATCTGTTGTAGTGGAACTAAAAACGACATTTTTAAGTTTTAAATTTACAAAGCTACCTGTAAGCTTGAGTGTTTTTTCTTTTTAGCAGTTACAAATTCTAAAGGCACTAAAGAGTGAGGTGCTTGTGAAACTGCACAATTCCAGAGCTGGAATCAAAAAGCAACGCTGAATACTCCATTTAAATCACAAGTTCCAGAAGAACTGGCAGTAGTGAATGTCCTCTCGAACTGCATCAGCTCCTCATGACTGGAGCTGCGGGGAACAGGCAGGGCTGAGACAACTGAACAGGCCTGGCAGGAAAATGCCAAAGGAGTGACGTCCATGTACAAGGGAACAAGGTTAGATGCAGCTTCAAGGGAACTCACCAATTTATTATTAATTTCTTTGAACCAATTCACATGTATCAAACCAAGGGAAGCTGCAGACAGGATATCACATTGCCAGCATTTCTGAAGCTTCCACAGCACTTAAAGAGTGTTCCATGGTATCACACGTAAGAATCTAAGTAATTTTCAAGACACTAGAAGGCAATAAAATTTTCAGGCAGTTTATAGCAAGTTAATACTCAACTTCCACTGAAAACACTAAGCCTGCTTAATTGCTCCAGGGACCTTTGAAAATCTCAGCAAAAGAGAACAATAAGCAGTAAATCAACCCTTTCAAAATGAGAGTAACCCCCTCCCCTCCACTGTCATTAGGTATTCCACAAAAATGTATTTCACTTCCACAAACACATATTACATCATAGCAGGTCAGAGACAGAGCTATGCAAGAGTGATTAACAGGACTAATAAAACTTTTCGGAAATATTAAAGACTTTGATTATATACTCTAATATGAACGGGGAAGTGGAAGATCATTTCCATATTTCCCATTTAGAAGACCACACTATAAGAACTTGTCAGACAAAGACACTTTGGGTAGTGCTTTTCTTGATGAAATTAAGTTAGTCTAACAAATCCTGGAGGAAAGCCACATATTTTATCACTCAAAGAAAAAAAAAATTCACATTTAAAGCTTGCTGCCTTTTCCTCTTTTTCCTCACTGTGCAAACAAAACTGATTTTCTATACAGTAATTATAAAATAAAGGGTTCCAAGTGGTTTGATAGAAGCAGACTTACATTCTTAAAGTGACATGAAAAATGGAGGGACTAACTCAAAGATTTAAAATCAAGTTCATGTAACAATTCCCACCCACTTGCCTTCAAATTGAAGTTGAAATTTGAAATTTAGTCTCAGACATTTTAAAGAAAGTGCAAAAGTGAGAACCACAAGGGAATTAGGCACTGGTTTGCATTCTATAGGACTGAAGTAAAAGCTAGGCAGGAAAACACTGTCTTGTTATTAAAAAAAATCCCTCAGGATAATTGTGATAGTAACTCAAAGACACACACAAAAAAATCACCTCCTTTACATGATCAATTCCAACTTCTATTTCTAGGCCATTCACATCAAGGTCAGGCACCTGTTTACATGTCAGAGTCCTGCCAGAACAATGTGTAAACTCACCTTGTCTTGGTTTTCCTTATTTTTGTAACACAAATTTCCAATCAAACGAATGAGATGAGATTTAAAACCCACGGCTGGATGTGAAACTTCTTCCTGCCCTGTCACAGCATGCGTGGCAGTGAAAACGTTGACAGCCTGTTTCCCAGCGAGGTGAGTTAATCTCAGGGTATCTACAGAAAACAAAACCACTTTAATTCAGCACCACCTGGAAATCAGTATCATTTGGCACAGAGCTTCACTACTGATTGTTGAGCTCAAAGCTAAACAACACAGGGTGTCAGATCCTCAGCACCATGTCAGAACCGTGACAGTCGGCTTCCTGTCGTGGTTTGTGGTAGTACAACCATAAAAGACCACCCCAAGAGGAGATTTTTACACACTTTTTACACACTAACACAGTTCAGACATGAAGTCTGAAGGCTGCTGCTCTCCATCTCCACTTGAAGAGGCTGCTGAGAATTCTGGCACCACAAATACACTGCTAAAAACAATAGAGGTTTGGGTTTTTTTTTTTTTAACCTATTTCTCTTCACAGTCCATAAGGTTTTACAATTTACTCACAAAATGGTGGCACACCTCAGCCTCAGAAAGTGCTGAGACTTAAGAAAGCACAGGTCAGGGTATGTGCACCCCCTCCTCATTCCCGCCTGAGTACACAGAGCCTGTCTGGAACATTCTGGTTTTTTTCTTCCCTTGCTCTTTCTTAGCTTCTTTCAGACTGACCTTCAAAAGTCACTGAATTTGGTTAGTAACATTCACACCGCACTTCAGTTTCAGTTTTCAGAAATTTGGGAAGGGAACAGGTATGGAGGAAAAGCCCCGTTTGTACTTCTGGAGGGAATTCTTCCATGCATCCAGCCAGTGGAAGAACAGAGGCAGCAGCTGTGCTGCGTCTCGCACCGCTCCATGTACAAACAGCACATTGCTGACACCTGAATCAAGGCTCTGTTGGGCAACAGGGGCAGAAAATTTCCAGGAACAAATCAAATATTTGAAAAGGCAGATTAACCCCATCTCCCATTGATCTGTTTTATGGCAAGGTCAGAATCGTAATGACCACCTGCCGTGGAAATCCTGTTTTCGTTCCCGGAGCCCCCAGGGTGGAGAAGCCACCAGACAAACCCCGGGTGCTCACTCACCGATGGCTGTTTCCAGCAAACCAGGTAGAGCCTGCAGATGTTCCAGCTGCCCACTGCTCGAGGTCATCTCACACAGGACATCGAGGAGACAAATTGTCACCAATGCTTCCTGGGAATGGAAAGGGCAGTTCTGAACATGCTTTTGACGAACATCATAGCGCAGAAACCCGGGGATATAAACTGGGGGCAGGAACTCTCAAGCACCCCAGGTTCTTTGCAGGTCTTCTAAAACTGCCAAGAACACATTTATATAAAATGAGGACGTCTTTCTAAAATAACAATAATGTATTACACTGCAATAACTTCTTTCCTACAGTGTTATATGTGCCTGAAAAACCATGGGGAAACCAAAACAGTGCCATAAGGGATAAAATTTTAACAAAAACACAGCAGCTTCCAAAAGCAGAAATACAGAAAATTGCTAGCTGAGAAAATTATTTCTGTATAAATGTTTTCTTTGAGTTTATTCAGTCGGAGTGCCCCGCTTTAAAGACACAAACACCGCCTGCAAGACACCAATTTGTTATCCGCAGGAATTCTGTAAAGTTCTGTGGTCAAATGAACTTTGGCTGCGAGAATTTACATTATTTTTGGGTAGACAGCGTTGGGATCAGAGACGCAGCATATTGGTGAGGTACGAGACACACCATTTTATTTGCATATTATTTATTCAGCCAGAGAATTATTTTTTCTCGTGGAAAATACGTTGGTGCTGCTCATAATGACAGTCCAGCACTTGGAGAAACTACCTTATGAGCACGTGGCACAATTTGGGACACCACCCCTTGCTCAGGAGCCAGGCTGGGGCTGCACCATGACCCCACTCAAGGTGTGGTACCTGAACTGCAAGCAGCCATGAAAAGGCTCAGACACTGGTCACAGGAACTATTCCTGCCTTGTGTGGCCCAGGACAAAGACAGGCTTTCTTACCCACAGGACAATATTTGTGAATCCATATAATCGATATAATGTAATTAAAATCATTAATAATAGTGCTGAGTGATTAAGTACTATGATTATATCCACTCCTTGCTCATTGAAGACACCAAATCACTACAGGATCCAGGTCCTAAAGCTTAATTTCCATTTTTTATCTTACACAGGTGTAGGAAGGTACAAGTCTTGCTCTAAATTATTCAGTAAATTGCCTTCAACATCACACAACCAGACTGTAAAAATACATTCTGCTACTAATTAGGAACACTCCAATTGTATTTCAGAGACAGTAACTAGCTATTCACAATTTTTAAGAGCAACAAATTATTTAAAAACCACAAAAGAACTCCCAAATTCTTATCTACATTTGAAACTCAGTAATTTCAAAAAAACTGTTTAAACATCTCTGGTTGGCTCCCTCCCCTGCTTTCAACCAAATTTTGGATTTGCCTTTCACCTTTATGAAAGGAAGGCAGTAATGGAAAATATTTCCTTTTGAAGTTCAAACCCCCCAGATATTTTGAAATCTGGAGAGCCATCTTGATATGGATGAAATCTGAAGAGCAAATAAGGAAATAATCAGTTTTAAAATTAACATATTTTGAGAGATGCAGAAAAGATATTCCTTATAAAGAGATGAAATAAGGACTTCAAGTCCAGGGAAGGGTTTTATTTTGCAAGCATGGTTGAAAGTTAGTGCAAGCAAACTCATGCCCAAGTCAGGCTTAGAATGGAAAAGCTATTTTAAATGTTGGTTTAAGCACTGCAGAAGCATATGATTAACTTCTCATGGGTTGAAGATGGAAGCTACAAACCTGAGGTTCCTTAAGGAAAAGAGGCAGTGTCTACATATAATAAATTAAACAGTGGATGGGACACCCAGACAACATTTTGGGAGTCAGGCCAGTCCAAGGACTGTTCCCAAAAGGCAGTTTTCAATGTGGCCTCGGAGTTCTGGAGTCCAGGGCAGATAACAGGGACAGAGCCTGGCCAAGGCCCTTGGCTGCAGGGCCACAGTGCAGTCCAGGCAAAGCTGAGCTCAGTGGAACACACGTTCCCTGAAGCATTTTTCATGACAGACTCCACACGCACAACTGCATTTTCTGCAGTCAAGTACAACTCTTATGCAAAACCTAAAATATTTACACAATTAAGGAGAGATCAATGCAATTCTTGATGATTTCTTGTAAGAAGAGAAACAGCTTTATGAATTTGAGCTGGAATTTCTCTTTTCCCATGGCAAGCACACGTTATGAACAAATGTACACACACAGTGCACATGTACACATACTGCCCTCCATTTACTCAGTTATTAGGGCTCATATTCGGTGTTCATTCAATGAGCCCCACTTCCCACAAACACTGACAACTCAACTTACAGCACATTATGTCCATGTGAGAGAGGAATAAGAAGTCAGTGTCAGGCAGGTCACTCAGTAATATTCACAGTGCTGCTGCCCCAGCACCTTCAAGTTGGAGAGAGACCTCCTTCTGCTGGGTGCAAACGAATGGGTTTCTTCCAAGAACCGAAACCACAGAATACTTGAAAAGTAACCACAAAGGATTAAAAAAAATGGGGGGAAAAACCAAAAAAACTAATTGCCTCAGTATATGTCCTCTTACTGCCAAGCTAGTACCTTTTCCAGAAACAGCCAATTAAGACAAGAAGAGATTACTGTGTGGTTGTTGCTTTGTGTCTGTTTGTTTTCTTTTTAACACATAAAACTATTATCTCCTCATAAAGGGATTCTTAGTATCTTTCATAACAGCTCTCAAATTTAAAATCCTTGTGCCTATTTAAACAAACAAAAAAGTCAGCAAGTACAACACTGTTTAACATTATCACATAAAAGCACTTAAGATCAATGTTTCTACAGTGCACTCTGCCACTGCTTTACCAACCTAAACTGGGAAGTAACAAGTGCCCCTTGGGTCACAGTGGCAGTGAGGACTCACCACTTTAAAGTCTGTAATCAGTCATACCTCATCTTCTGCCCCTGCTGCATCAGTTAACCTGAGCACAGCTCCACACTGCTCCTGGAAACAGCCCGCAAGGAAGGCGGCGTGTCTCGCCATCACCCTCATCTCCTCGCTGCTAACACAGCTCTTCTCGCTCACCTTCGACATCATCAGCTCTAACAAAGTAACCCTGGAAGCATAAAACAACTTGTTAATCACCAAGCCAGAGAATGATCAGTAGAATCTTTCAATTAATACTATCTGGCCAGACAGTCAGGGGTTTTTTTCTCAAGTCTATTTGAATTGCTAATTTCTTATGGCCTAACAAAATGTTACTGGGACTGCACATTCCCTCAGTCTAAAGTTTCCACCAAAACAGCTCTTAAAAGCTGTTGTTAAATTCAGCAAAATAAACACAGACTTTTTGTCAGCTTCTGTTTGAAAACAGCAGCTTTTCACAACCCTTGCCTTGTCCCCAGTCCTTCACTAGTCCTCCCCCATGACCCCAAACCAATTCAAAAAAGCACGAACAGGAAAATAAAAACTGATATGTACTTTACACATCAACTGTTCTTCACAGTTTTGTAATTGCCACTTTATGGACTAAGCAAACCCAAGTTAATTACTTGTATATTCAGTAAGAATCACTCTGCATATTAAGCCAGCAAGTAAGTGGATACACAATGAAGCTCCTCTATAAAGTGTACTTGGGTCATTTTTCTTAACAGCTTCAATGTCACTTTATTTCCAATATCCCTACACGGTGTCAGGGCAAACTGGAAGCATTTAGTGGAAGCAGGGCTTGGAGGTGGCAGAGGCCCTCCTACAGATGATCCCTGCTCCGTATGCGCTCCCGAGTCCCTCTGTCACTCTCTCAGCCTGAAAGGGCACTATTTATTGAACGGATTCAGGAACAGGCTCAGGGCTTTCTTTCACTGAAATATTTGCAATTCAGATGGAAGGACCAACATTTAAACATGTGGAATAGTTCAGATGCTTTTTCTTTTAAATTTACCAAGCAGGTTGTCAGGAGGGGAAAAGAAATGCCTTTCTCCATGGAAAAACCTCGGTCACCGCTTTATTAACCTCCAAGAACCCACCCCTATTAATCACGTAACAGCTCCTCAGTCCTCGTTGAACTCAGCCCTCGGTGTCACTGATACAGCTGCACTAAACCATTCTCTGGAGGAGCACAAAAACCTTTTCAACACGGCGGCACAGAAACACTCCCGGCTCCTTTGGGACAGGAGGCTGAGCCCCCTCTCCCAGGCTCTGCTTGGTGCTGCTCTGCAGGTCCCAGCTGGGCACCACATCCTGTCCATCTCCAGGCTGACAGAGCCCAACTCCCCAACACCCCTCACAGGCCAAGGCTTTCCCACCTGGCCCTCGATACAAAACCCAAGGGACGTGTCATTCACCCCCAGACAGGGCTGGGCTTGACAGGTCACTTGACACCAAGTGCAGGGCCTTCCCAGCATGTGCTCAGCTGAGAACACAGGCTGCTCGCAGACTTTATGAACACAGGAGCTATTCCAGTAAAACACTACCTCCTGCTTGGCAGGATTCTAGTCAGCTCTTGTTGCACCAATAATCCAAATAATACCCATTTAGAAGTGACAAGCAATCCTTTCTGTGAACAAGCTGGAGGGTCACCACATAAACTATTCAATAGATTAAATGGTTGCCAATAGGGAATGCTTTGCATGACTCTTCCTCCTGTAATATAAGTTGGTGCCTTTTTCCACAACCATAATCCTTCCAGAAAAACAGGAGTGATGTTAAAACACCACCTGCATGATATTTCTTTATAAAGTTTCCTCTTCTCTTTAGGCATTCAAGTCAAACCGTTTTCCTGAGTTTTATTCCAGGCACAGTCATTCAGGACGTGCCCATCTTTCCCTGAATTTCAAGCAAGTCTTGCCATTCAGCCAATAATTTCCTGAGAGCAACACGCTTTGTTCGAGTGCAAACCCCTCACATTCCTTTCTTCTATTGTTTCTCTCAGTTTTCTTACAAGACTCACTCTAATTTTTCCAAGTTAGTTCTCCCACACAATGCAATTTGCCCATTTCCTTTAAATCATCTCACAACTGTTTAGCCATTTAGATGACAGAGTTTATTCCTACTTGTTTGCCTAAATACAACAAATATGTATATACTTGGAGCTGAATACAACAAATATGACAACTGTTATTACCAACTGAATTTTTCTAGCACTCAGTTCAGTATCTAAAATGTAATTCTGTATATTTTATTTATGATTATACTTCTATTTGGAAATAATCATGCCCTGTCATTTTCCTTTTCCTTAGGTACCACTGAGGAACATTTTATGAATCTCTTGCTTTCTTTCCTCTAGCCAAATTTAAACTAGTTCTTCTTGATGCTGACTAAACTGGCATGAACTTAGAACAGCTACAATAAAGTATTTGCAATCATCAGTAAAACAAACTTCTGTCTCCTATAGCCTGCAAATAAACCACAGCATTCAAGTGCAATTTAAATCTGGAAGCTCATTATTACAAAATACAGTGCTGTCTCACTAAGCCTAAAACTAACAGTGTAAAATTCTATTGATTTTATTATATCATCAATGTTTATATCAAGCATGCCAGACACTGAGTACCAGACACTTGGGACTCCTCTTTGCCGAAACACTTCCCTGACAGCAACGGCTCCATGAGACAAATTAGGTCCTTCCTCAAAACTTGCACTTCCTTCATCTTCAAATGATGCTTGCAAGCGTTGTATTAAATGCAAAATGGTAAATTTGTGAGCAGCTGTAACTCAGTGCTACTCTGTGTCTGTGAGCACTGCCAGGGACAGAGACTGAACACGAGCACAAAGAGGTGCCACTCACGGGACTGCAGTGCCCGTTTCCCGGCAGGCAGTTGGATCTCTGGCTCCATCCTTCCCTGAGGACACCCCCCATGGCACAGCACAGACACCAAACCCAGAGGTGCAAGTAGCCGAGCAGCTTAGAAACACCTGAAGCTACTCCCCTGCATTTTTCTTCCTGTTAATTACAGAAAAACCCCTTCCTAAAAGGGACAACACAGATGTACACATCCTGAAGATTCTGCAATGTAATTAAGACAATCAAGGCATTAACTTACCATCGTCCGTGCTCAAGGCTAAGTTGGATGAAAGCAAAACAGGCTTTTCCTAAATATTTCTGCCGAATACCTGCACACACGTGCAGGGACATCTCCAATCTGCTAAAAAATTCAAGAATCTCCACTCTTTTGCCTCAATACTGTGGCCAAACGCTTCTCCAACAGGCCTCTTCAGAGAACCAGCAGGTACTGTCACAACCTCATGGGATCATCCATGTGATCCTGCAACAAAAGCCCTCCAGCCAAGGGACCCCATCCCCATCTGCACCACGAGATGTGAAACAAAATCAGCCCACACCTCTCTGGAGATTGATTACACCTACTGCTTTAAGGACACCAGGACCCTCACCCAGTCCTGCTTGTTCTCAAGGGCACTATGAAAACATACAAACCACCTGCCCTTCATGGTATTCCCCAGAAGAATTAAACCCAGCTCATCCACTTAAAACAGTCTTTCCCACCAGCTGGTTAAGGAGCCCCTACCTCCAGGCACATATTTGCTCAGCTCATACTTGTTCCCATTTGGTCATCCTGAATTATGGAGGAAGGCAGTATTTCCCTCCTCACCATTCCCATCCCATCCCTATACATTAATGATATTTAATTTACGGTTCAAAACCATCACATACTCTTTCTTTGCCTGACACCCCTTTTGTTTCCTTATAGTCTCCAGTCAGCGCCTGTACCCTCATTCATAATGACACTGGAAACATAACAAAACACAGAAAAAAACACGTCAAGGCACTGTTTTGTTTAGTGCTTTGTCTCTCACCTATGCAAAAACTATGAAGGGGGAACTTACACCTTCCCTGAGCAGAGGGGGAACAAAGCAGCCATGGTGAACACACAAATAAGACAAGATCTTCAAGCAGTTGGAGGAGCTGTAGAATTCTAGGACAGGGTTTCCCAAAGTTCATTGCCTTAAAGTAACCTTTTTATCTTCCCCAATTCTCTATTACAGCAATCGTAAGTGAACATTTTCTCGCTATAGCAATGGCCATTTCCCATCAATCCAGCACACATTTACTCAAGCATCTGAAGGAAAACCAGCTATGCTTCTTCAAGGCGAAGGTTCGCTGAAGCCTCTGAGCAATGAAACGTGGAAAGATAAGCAATCACAGGCACCTGCACATGTGGGTTTTGTACGTTCTGCTCACCAGTACTGGACAAACTTGCAGCTTTAGCAAAGACCTCCTTTTAATTTCCTGTCATTACAACAGAAGTATGAACAGCTGAGGACGTTTCTAATGGAGCTGTAAAACCCTGTAGGGTGTGGTGCTCTTCTGAAATCAAGAGCCAGGCATGAAATCCTGCCCTTTTTTTGTGTGTGTGTGAAGTATTTCTTTACCAAGTAATGGCGCCAACCTGGATTCTGCAACCCTACATAAATCACTGCCAGTTGTGGCTAAGCTGTAATGTTAACCAACCAATTTAAAACCATTACTGACATAGAAACATGTATTTAGAGATTCTGTGCCAACTCTGAAACCACACAGTTTTTCAATCATGTGAACAGGATACTCTATATGGAATGCTAAATACTCAAAGCCACATTGGGTTTTGGGGTTACCTTTCTTGATTGCTCAGTTTGGCATAGAGGGCTTTTACCAGCTCTGGACATTGCAGCAAATGGTCTGTAACAATCAGGAACCTGAAGGAAGAAAGGAAAGTGTTACTGGTGCTACAAAAGCAGCATCTACATTTATTCCAAATAGTGCTGCTTAGTTTTACTTGTACATGAATGGGTGACTTGCTTTTGCTCCTGTTTGCTAAAAGACATAGCCACAAAATAATT